GGTCACTGCCCATTCATCTTTGTATCCTGCCCAGGGCCTCACCTGCCATGTGTGCGCTTTATAAACATACCCCTGGAGTATGGACAAAAAAAAAAGCTCTGTGGGAAATTACAGGGCAGAGGAAAAAATGTGCAGAAAGGAGGCCTGGTCTCCAGAGTACACGAACATTTTTATTCTGTCGTTCTCATGACTTCTCTTTGAAGACCTGAGATTAAAAACACTTCCAAGTCCCAGATCTGCGCTCTCCCCTCTTATAATGATAAAGCCGGGATCCTTTGGCCCAGGTGTGGGGTAGGAAGGGGGCCCAGGGCAGGACGTTGCTTGGAAGCAGCCCCTCGGAGAACGGCCTACTCTGCAGGGATGGTAGGCACCGACCTGTGGAAGGATGCTGTGAGCCAAAAGTGGGCTTTCAAATCGCCAATCCAACTCCTCCCGTTGCAGCCTAAGCCTTGGGTAGCCCCATCTGCAGAATGGGTATACTACTCACAGAGTTGTAAGGAAAGCAAAGGAATACCGTTCATATCGAGCTCTTGCTGAAAGTATCCCCCAGCTGTGTTGGGGTAGACAATGACTCTTCTGGACTCAACTAGAAGTAGGGAACCCAGCTCATACTTCCAATCCTCCTAATCTTTCAATCAAATATTTCACCTCAATCAACACAAATGTGGTCTTCCAGCAAAAACCTAAGAGGATCACCTGGGCCTCACAGTCCTACCTTACTGACATTCCATGGTACGGGACTTAGTCATCTCCTGATTCAGACACCTGCTGAATGCTTCCATGACTTGTCAACGTCTCCGGAAGCGGCTTCCGAAACACACCTGAGACTGGCTTCTTGGGCCTACAACCTCCATCTCACTCTCCACCTCCCTCCTGAGCCCACCCCATATGAGAAACAAAGTACTTCCAGAAGCTCGCTCCTGTCCAAAGTGAGCCACAAGTAGTCAAGGTAACAAACCCAAGGAAGATGCATCTTTTCGAGGAAGGGAGCCCAAAGGGAACGCTCTGGAATCCTTGCTTCACCCTGGGACCTGGCCTCCCGTGCTTCTGTGGCTCGGTGCGCTTCGCAGACTCCGACCCTCCAACTTTATCCCTGGCGGGTCTTGTCTCCCAGTTCGCACTGGATTCTTTGCCAGGGCCCTCTCGGCTCCTGCACTCTCTGCTCTCCAGCTCAGGGTGTCAGGGCGGCTGCGTGCGCAGGGCGGGTGCACCCTCCAGGCTTCAGCTCACCCGCACCTCCTCTGCAGGACTCCCCTCCCTGGGCACCACACACACTTTCCCGCCTTCTCCCCTACTAGCCCACGAGACGGGGGCTGCCTTTGTCAACTGCTCTGCTTCCAGCACCTTGCTCCGAGACACCCACTGCAGGAGCAGACCACCAAACAGCGCCTCAGGCCACCACCAGCCGGGGCAGGAGCTGACACTCTTGGCTCTGACAGCAAATACCAGTCTGGAAATGACCTCCACACATGCCCTGCTCCAACACCAGGTATTCTGCAAGGGGGGGCAGGGGCCCCGAAGTGGCTGAGGGTCCACTAGGCAGCTGCAGCTCAGAGGGAAGAGACCGTGGCTTCATTTTGGAGCTTCGGAGGAGGGCAAGTGGCACACTGCGTGGCTGCCCTACTTAGCCAGCCTCCTTCCTAGCACTCTTGAAACTGTGCCACAGGATTCTGAACACTAGCACCACCTCGAAGGCTCAAGAACGGCCGTCGACTTCCGAGGGACCAGCAAGTGCAGGAAAAGAACGTGCCAGCACCACACTCAGGCCATGAGGACAACTGCTACTAGCTGAGCGGTAAGAATTCACCCGAGACACCCAGGGGCCTTGTTTAACCTGAGAGGACAAGGACAAGCTCACGCTTACTGAAGGGAAAAGACCACATGGCGTCCGGGTCCCCAGTTCAAGATCCCAGCTGTTACTTGGTAGTTGTGGGGTCAAGGTCAAATCACTCTGAGTCTGTTTCCTCATCCGAACACCAGGGATGACACAATGCTTCCTCACAAGGCTGCTGGAAGGACTAAACGAGGTCCCCGAGAAAACGTATGCAGCACGCAGACTGCACATTCGCAAACTTAAGGGAAAAAGCTACTTCGGGCAGCGCCTGAGTGCAAGTGCACGCAACTGTCCAGGAGAAGTCTGAGCTCTCCCAGGCCCTGGCCACAAGCCTGCGCTTTCAGGAAATTCCTAATGAAGCAGGAAGTAGCATATTTTCCCAGATAACCTCCACTTTATCCCTTTTATTTCCAGCCTACAGTTTTTAATGACCCTCTTCACTGAACGACTGCTCTTCAAAGAGACTTTTATAGTATTTTGCCTCTGGAGGAAGTTGAAGCTCGGTGCTCTCTGGGCTCTTAAGAATGAGGGGCCCCTGGGTGGCTCAGTCGTTAAGCGTCTGCCTTCGGCTCAGGTCATGATCCCAGGGTCCTGGGATCGAGCCCCACATCAGGCTCCCTGCTCGGCAGGAAGCCTGCTTCTCCCTCACCCACTCCCCCTGCTTGTGTTCCCTCTCTCGCTGTGTCTCTGTCAAACAAATAAAATCTTTAAAAAAAAAAAAAAAAGAAAAGAAAAAGAATGATATCCTGCCATCTGCAACGACATGGATGGACCTAGAAGGTACTGGGCTAAGTGAAGTAACTCAGACAAAGATAGTTACTGTGCGATTTCATGTCTATGTGGAATCTAAAAAACAAAACAGAAACAGACTCGTCAACAGAGACCAAACTGGTGGTTGTCAGAGAGGAGGAGGATGGGCGTGGGATGGGCAGTTGAAGGGGATTAAGAAGTACAACCTTCCAGTTATGAAGTCAGTCGGTCACTGGGATGTAATGTACAGCAGAGATGGAATATAGTCACTAACACTGTAATAACCGTGGATGGTGACCAGTGAGTAACTAGATCTATCAGAGTGATCATTTTGTACATTTGTAATGTATAAAAGTACCCAAACACTACGTAGGTCAATTAAAAACAAACAAGAATTCAGAGATGGGCAGCATGACAGAGGGAGGAAGCCCTGGGTTGGTTAGGAGCCAGGCTCCTGCTGGTTCCTGGGGCACCTGTCTTGCTCATCTATGTCTCAGGCTCGTCACCATTTATAAGAGGCAGAGCCCCTTCCTGCTTTAACATGATCTGACTGTATAAATTAACGTAACCAGAGGTTCTACTTAGTAGTTGGTACCTGCCCCAACCATGTGCGCATAGCAGCTCTGTCTCTGGGCCATTGCTGGAAACCCCGTGCAGAGCACCCCTTCGGGAAGGTGGATCCCTGTCAATTTCTTCCGATTCAGCAGCTCTGAGGAGACTGAAGAGGAGATGCGGTGACTGTTCCAGGAGAAAGTCTCCTCCTTACGTGCCTCAGATGCCATCCAGCTGCCAGAGACGCTGGGTCCCCAGCCCAGGGCAGAGGCCACACATGGACTTTTCTTTTTTTAAAGGCTGGCAACACTTACTGATTCTAAGAGTGCAGTGTACATCAAGGCTCACAGATTATCTGAACTGACCAGGAATGAAATTTCAGTCAGTTTCTAGATCACTTCTCTGGCAGGCCAAGGGAATATGAGTTTGAGGCAAACTGGAGCACGCCGGCTGCGTTCTCTCCTATTAACTCCCGATGCTCTTCGAACTCGCCTCAGTGCAACGCAGTTGAAAAGTCAGGATGCCGGAGGATGCTGGCTTCCCTTCCCTGAAGCTTTGGGGAGCAGAGCCGAACCTGTCTCTGGCTAGGTATTATACCAAGGTTACCACGTAAAATCCAGAACACCCAGGTACATTTGAATTTCAAATAAACACATCATTTTTTGATCTAAGTACGTTCCATGTAATATTTGGAGGATACTTATGGGAAAAAAAAATGCTTCGTTGTTTATCTGAAATTCCAATTTAACTGGGCACCCTGCATTTCTATTTGCTAAATATGGTAACTTTAATTACACCCATTTCAAGCAAAGACTAGTTGGTTCCTAGTCTCCAAAGTATAACAACATCCCCAAACCAACCTCTCCCCAGCCAAAACAAAAACTTGTCTTGTTTGTTCCTCAAAACAAAACCTGTCTTTTTATTTCCAGGACATGTTTTTTAAAAGTAGGTCCGTAAGTATCTAATAAAAAACAGAAAAAAGAGATGTGCCTTCTTGTAAGTCTCCAATTTAAAAGCTCAGCATGCCACTGGCCACAGTCTCTGGGGCCAGGTGGCTCTCTGGGCAACCCCGACTTCAAAGGCAACTGGCTTCCAACTCATCGGGGTAGGGGGAGAAGGCAGGAAGAGCAGAATTTAAAGGTGGCTCCTTTCTCAAAGAGGCCCACTGGGGCAGAGGGACAGGAGAGGAGGCAGGTGCTGAGGGCAGGAGAATGAGAGGAAGCGGCACGGCACAGCTCAAGCCACAGGACATACATGTCCCTCTACACAGAACACCCCCCACCCACTGACAGGTTTACTGTGAGATACAAGAAAAAGTTATTGCTCTTACAGAAAGCCCAGTAGTTGAGGGAGAGATGCGTCCCTGCCCCGTCCCCCCCGGATTCTCCCCCGTCTCGGCACTTGGCCTGGGCACCCACGGCTACCGTTCTGGGCGGCCACAAGCTGCAGGCAGGGCCTCGGGCCGTTCGCGCTGCTGGGGTAGGTGAAGAGACAAAACACCTCCCCGAGTTTTTTTTTTTTTTTTGAAATTACATTTACCATTCTGGTCAAAAGTTACTCATATAATGCAGTGGTCTTAAATTTTTATTTTGCACGGTTATACAGTCTGAATGACTAGCTTGCAATCCGAGGCAGTTTTTATAAGCTTTGCTCTGCAAAATGGTGTTAGTGTTGTTGTAGGGCAAAGTCCTCATCGATAAAGAAATTACATTAATGAAAGGAAATCAAGAATGATGTGCTGGCACGTCAGATTACAAAGTGGCTCTAAGCAAGCCAGTCCCCAACTTCTCACAGCAAGGGAGTTCAAGAGCTAGAAACTCCTTAGAAAAATTAAATGGCACCTATAATAACACTCATATAAGGGTCAAGTTTGTAAATTTTTAATCCATGGTACTCAAAAGTGAGAGAATTAAATACAAAGCTACAATTGGGTAAATCTTCTCACTTCCTCTTCTTCGTGGAATATAGTTTTTCTTCGAGTGGGACAGGGACAATCCCCTCACACTCTTTTACTTCCTGGGTCAGAGGGTGTTTTACAACATTCGGTCTAATCACATCAATGTCTCGAGACAAATGTTCCATTATGCTCTCAACAGCGGTGGCTGGTGCATAAAAATCCACCAAGAAATACCTGCAATAAAATAAAAATTTGTGAATTCCTGCATTCTGAAATACAACACTTCCGCTATTTTGGTCAATGTTTTCACTTTACTCCTCTCCAGATAAGATCGGCTACACAAAAACACACACACGCACTTTGTCAACACAGGAACTACCAACTGACCAGCTAAACAGAAGTGTTTGCCCAACCTCCCCCTTCCCTATGGCCGGTCCCCTTACACTCTTGTGAAAATCTGAATCCTAACAAACTTTGTGGTAGCAAAAAGCATTGTGACGTCACATACAGTGCGAAGTATATAAAGTACAGTAAGATTATGGGTCTAAGGAACAGAATGTACTATTCAACAAGGCTGAATTTCTCAAACCATTTTTTGAGAAAACATCTATTGGGTAAGTCTTCCAATTTTCTAAAGGATTTTACAAGTAACTTAATGCACCCAAGAGGCAGAGTACATACAAATGGCCACACTTCACAAACAAGGGAAAAGATTCTGAAAGGCCTGGGACTTGTCTAAGACTATCCTGCATGTTCGAGAACTGACAGCAGAAGGAAAATCATGGGAATCTGGGGTATGGGAAAGAACTGAACATTCCTCCACCCACAGCAGACTACTCCAGAAGGGCACCGCAGCCAGCCCACTCTTCTTACCACATCAACAACTTCATCAGCTCAGCCGATGACGTTACAAAGGAAGAAGCAGCCCTCCTCCCTGCCCGCGCCCCCCTCTCAATTCTAAAAGCGTAAGCCTCCCTTGTACTGTTGGGTTTGAACCACAGTGCTGTGAAAGGCCAGTTTTCAGTGCAGTAATTCAGAATTCTGCAATGTTCCAGCTGGCTGAGATGACCTCTGACATCGCTTACTTTGTTCTAGCCACACTCTCCTCCCCACGCATATTCCCATCCTAGGTCTTTGTGCTCACTGTTCCTTCTGCCGGAAATGTTCTTCGCTGAGTTCCACAGAGCTCACCCCTCACTTCCATCCTGTCTGCGCCCAAACGTCACTTTGTCAGAGGTCCTCTTTGATCACATCTCCTACAGCAACACTAAAGCAACATCCTCCTTGCCTGCCCACCCAACCTCGTTACTCCATCGGCCTTACTCAGTGCTTCATTGCTTCCCAGAGCGCTCATCACCATGGACAGAGTACGATTTGCTTATCATCTACCTCACGCACTACTACATAGCCGCCCTCAGCAGGACTCTGTTGCTTACCCTCAGCACCCTGAACAGAGGCTAACATACACCAGGCCCACGGTAAATACCTGGCTGCAAGAGTGTTAGCATGAGATGTGAAATTCTCACAGAAAGCAGAAGAGACCAAACTGAAAATGGACAGATTCGACACGGGAGTTAGAGAAAAGGGACGACATTTTGTATAATTCCATACAAAGAGAGTTCAAAACATATAAAACAACTTCCCAGGTGAACATTCACCCTTAGCTGAGCCTCGTGGGGAAGTTATTCAAGTAAACAAAAATTAAAAGTGAAAGGACAGAAAAACATACACCATGCAAAAACACTAATCAAAGAAAGCTCAAGTGGCTATAGTAATATCAAAGTAGATTGCAGATCAAAGGAAATTGCCAGGGATAAAAAAAGATAATATATAACGATCAGTTCACCAAGAAGACACAACAATCCTAAATGTGCATGTAACCTGACAACAGAACTTCATCATACAGGAAGTAAAAACGAACAGAACTGAAAAGAGAAATAAACAAATCCACAATTATGGCTGGAGACTTTTAATATTCCTCTCAGTAACTGATAAAACTAGTATACAGAAAATCAGCAAGGATGTAGAAAAAGTGAGCACCACCATCAACCAACTGGATCTGACATTTTTAGAACCCTCCAAACAAAAAGAGCAGGATACACATTGTTCACAGTTGCAAACAGAACATTTACCAAAGTCAACCATATTCTAGGCCATAAAATGATACTCAATAAATCTAAAGGGATTCGAATCTCACAGAAGACACTTGGGGAAATCCCCAAATACGTGGAAACTAACATACATCTAAATAGCCTATGGGTCAAAGAACAAATCAAAACGGAATGTGAACTGAATGAAAATGAAAACAACAAATCAAAGTTTGGGGAATGCCACTAAAGCAGAAAATTTATAGCACTAAACACCTATGTAAGAAAAGTGGAAAAGCCTCAAAACTTCCACCTTAAGAACCTAGAAAAAAGAAGAACAGGGTACCTAGGTGGCTCGATCATCTGCCTTTGGCTCAGGTCATGATCCCAGGGTCCTGGGATGGAGCCCCACATCGGGCTCCCTACTCGGCAGGAAGCCTGCTTCTCCCTCTCCCACTCCCCCTGTTCGTGTTCCCTCTCTCGCTGTCTCTGTCAAATAAATAAAAAAATCTTAAAAAAAAAAAAAAAGAACAAATTATAAACACAAAGTAAGACGGGGGTGGGGGGGGAAGAATAAAGATCAGAGCAGAAATCTCTGAGGCAGAAAACAGAAAAATAATAGAGACCATCAATGAAACCAAATACTAGTTCACTGAGACCAATAAAATTGATCCACCTCTAGTCAGACTGATCAGTAGAAAAGAGTAAGAGACAAATTCAGGAATGAGAGAGGTAAAATGGCTACAAATATTACAGATAATAAAAGGATGGAAAAAGACTATTATAAACAAATTTTACAATAAATTTGACAACTTAGATGAAATTCCTTGGAAAATAGAAACTACCAAAACTTCCTCCAAAAAATAGCTAACCCTATACCTATTAAAGAAATCAAATGTGTAATTAAAAACCTTTCCAAAAGAAAACCAAAGGCCCAAATGGCTTTACCAGTGAATTCTACCAAACGTTTGAGGAAAAACACCAATTTTGACACAAACTGGTACTGAAAATAGGACAACACTTCCCAATTTGTTCTATGAGGCCAGCATTACCCTGATGCCAAAATCAGACAAAGACATTACAAGAAAAGAAAAAACTGATCAATATCTCTCACAAACATAAATGAAAAAAAAAAAATTCTAAAAGTTTTAGCAAATTGACTACTAAAATATATGCAAAGAATAATACATCATGGTCAAGTAGAGTTTATCAAAGAAAGCAAGACTGGTTTAACATTTGAAATCAATCAATGTAAATCACCATATTACCAAACTAAAAAGAAAAACCATAATATGGGTATTAAGGAGGGCACATGTTGTGATGAGCACTGGGTGTTATACACAACTAATGAATCGTTGAACACTACATCAAAAACTAATGATGTACTATATATTGGCTAACTGAAGATAATGAAAAGAAAAGAAAAACCATATGATCATTCCAACAGAAAAAAAAAAGCATTTAACAAAATTCCATATCCAATTCCTGATAAACTGTCAGCAAAGTACAGCTACAAGGGAACTTCTTCAACCGTACAAAGGATATCTTTGCAAAACCTGTAACTAACATCATACCAGCTGGTCAAAGTCTTAATGCTTTTCCCTGAGACTAAGAATAAACAAGGGTGTCTGTTCTCACCATTTCTATTCAACATTTTACTGGAGGTTCTTGCCAGCGCACTAAGGCAAGAAAAAAAAGAAAAGGCATCCAGATTGATAAGGAAGTAGTAAAGTTGTCTATATCTACAGATGAAATGATTGTATATATAGAAGAATCTAAGAAATTTACAAAAAAGATACTAGAGATAATATGTGAGTTTAGCAAGGTTGCAGTCTACAAAAATCAACTGTATTTCTATATACTAGCAATGAATAATCACACCTTGAAATTAAATATGAAGTACTTAAGGATAAATCTGACAAAAGGTGTGCAAGACCTATACACTAAAAACCCTAAAACATTACTAAAAGAAATTAAAGAAAACCGGCATAAACGGAGATATAACTTGTTCATGGGTAGGAAGATTCAAATTTATTTAGATGTCAATTCTCCAAAATTGATCTATAAATTCCTAAGGATCCTAATCAAAATCCTAAAAGACATTTTTGTTAGAAATTGATGAACTGATTCTAAGCTACACAGGAAAATTCAAAGGACCTACAACAGCCAAAACAACTTGGATATCAAGAATAAAGTTGAAGGATTAATACTACCTGATTTCAAGACTCATTACAAAGTTACGGTAATCAAGGCAGTATGGTATTTGTATAAAGATACACAAACAGATCAATAGAATAGAGTCCAGAAATAGATCCATACATATATGCATAACTGATTTTTGACAAAGATGCAAAGGCAATTCAAAAGAGAAAGGACAGTCTTTTCAACAAATGGTGCTGAACAATTCCATATTTGTATGCAAAAAATGAACTGTGATCCATACATATACAAAAATTAACTCAAAACAGAACATAGATCTAAATAATAAAACACAAAGCTCGAAAACTAGAAAAAAACACAGGAGAAAACTTTTGTGACCTTGGGTTAAGCAAAGAAACTTTAGACGGCACTAAAAGCAAAATCCATAATCAAAAATTTGATAAACTAGACTTCATCAAAATTAAACACTGTTCTCTGAAAGATACTGTTAAGATAATAAAAAGACAAGCCACAGACTGGGATTTGCAAGTCACATGTCCAATAAAGGACTTGTTTCTAGAATATATAAAACTCTCAAAATTTATTTTAAAAAAAAAACCCCGATTTTTAAAAAATGGGCATAAAATTTGAATAGGGATTTCACCAAAGATGTATTATGGCAAAGAAGCACCTGAGAAAGATGCTTAATACCATTAGTCATTAGAGAAATGCAAATTAAAACCGCAGGGAGATACCTACTAGAATGGCTAAAATCAAAAAGACTGAGCATTCCAAGTGTTAGTGAGGACACAAGGAACTGGCATTCTCACACACTGCTAGTGGAAATGCAAAATGATACAACTGTTTTGGCATTTTCTTAAAAGTTAAACATACACTTGCCATTATGATCAAGCCATTCCACTCCTAGGTATTTATCCAAGAAAATTAAAGCATTAGTCCTCACAACAACTTGTTTATGAATGTTCACAGCAGCTCCACGTACAATCC